TTCTGTCCCAGACCTGCAAATTGAAAATGCCCCAACATTTTAATTCATACATTTCTTCAAACATTAAGGAACTGAGTCTCTAGAAATTGAATACAAAAGTACCTTGAGAGAGTTGCTAATGTATCACACCCTGAATTACTCTCTCTCTCTTTGAAACTGCAACTTTAACCTTTACAGGGCAGAATTTTCTTATTTTGCAGCTTGCTAAAGCACAGGGAACATATGAAGCATAAAAGGAAAATATAATTGCAACATTAGAAAGGAGGTGTAGTAAGAATGCTGGACTCCAAACTTTGTTTTAACTACACTTAGGTAAATCTTTTCAATTTGGTTGGTTTGTGGGGGGAGTGGGTGCGGGATGAGGGTTTTGTTTGCTTGCTTGTAGGATTTTTTTGTTAGTTTTGGGGGTGTTTTGTTTTGTGGGTTTGTTTTGGTTATTTTTTTTGTTTGTTTTAATTTATTCTGAATAGTTACTTGTTAAGGACCAACTGAAATGTCCAGCTTAATTCAATCATTTCTATAATGCAAAGACTTGACAAGCTGCAATCTCTGGAGGGTTGGTTGATTTCCAAAAACAGTGATTGAAGAATGGCACTCATAATGGAAATATTTTACCTTTTAAAAGACACTCTTGCTTAGAAGACTTTCGTACACGTTCATCCGTAGTTACCCAGTTTTCCAGGTGTTTAGGTATTACCAATAATTCTCCTTCTCCAGAGAAACACAGAGGGCAGTTGAATTTCTTTGGAGGAACACACCTTGTTTTTCCATCCTCCTACTGTGGAGTTATTTGAATGAGAACCTAATTCAGTGAAGCCCTGCAATAAGTTTTCACAGCTGCTTAGCTAGTTTACTCAATTGGACATGATGGCAAAGGGCTCTTCTGAAATGTTCATGACTGCTAAATTAGCAAGAACTATTTTTTATTTTCATCATATTTTGTTATCTTCCTATTCTGGGCAAGTCTTGTGACCAGAATTTTCAGCCTTCTCAACTGAAGTTCCTCTGTGAACATGTGTCAGTTTGAGGAAAAGTGGCATAATCCTTAAAAACGCTCAGCAGTCACTTCATCTGAACAGTTTTCACAAACTTTCTTTGGAATTTTTGAAGCCTAGATGGTCTTTATAAAATGAGCTTTTTGACATCAACTGCGAGTGGTTTAGGAGTTGATTCTAAGCATCCCTTTGCGGAAACCCTGGCAGCTTTCAATGATGCAGGCAAAAGACAAATATTTGATATCAACATCATCTGCATAGACTATTATGGAGTGATTTTTTGATCAATGACAAGTATCATATATATGTATATGTAGTTCGGCGGTGAAAGAATTCTATATGTCTGAGATTGTTTTGTTTTCTTGATCAGCCAATGGTTTTAAAGGGCTGTGAGTTTCTGTTTTACCTCCATCATATACCCAGATGTGATGGTGTCAGAGGCGGAGTGGTAATATGTTACCTGTGGTGTAGATGGAGCCTCCAGCTGGTGGAGATTACAGCAGGTTCTGGTTCTGTGTGTGTGTGTGTGTGTGTGTGTGTGTGTGTGTGTGTGGTCACTGCAGGTCCAAGCTGATTTGGGTTTAGGGGAATGAAGTGAGGACTTGAGGCAGCAGCTCTGCACTGGCTGCCAGGACCCAGGGGCAGAATATCTGTCCAGAAGGAAGCTTAGCTGAGCCTGCATTTGCAAAGCATCCCTTTGGTTGTGCTGGGGCAAACAGCAGGGCTAAGATATTGCTGCAGCTGTTACAGAACACAGAGCAGCTGAACAAAGAAAAACATCAAAGCAAAGTATCCTGAGGAATTGGTTGGAAACATTCACATATTTCTTGCCTTCTGCTTCCATCTCAAGACCTACATAGAGATTTTGATTACTGGTCTTATTGTCTGTTCATCAAGTGGGTACCACAGGATGCTCCCCAGTTGAGTAGAATAGTACAGGGGAAAAATCCACATGTTCATATGGAATTTTCTACATAGATTGTTTTAAATGCTGTCATTTATACCTCTGGAAATAATTTAAAGCCCTGTTGCTTTCGAGGTTTTATTATTTATTTTGGGTTTTTTGGTGTTTTTTTTTGGTTTTTTTGGTTGATTGTTTTTTTGTTTTGGTTTGGATTTTTGTTTTAGTTATTAATTTTTATTTTTTTTTTTTAGTCTTTCAATTTTTTTTTATTTCTACCAGATTTTATTTACTTGTTTATTTCTATCTCTCCAATGTCATTCTGTGCCTTGATCAGAGATTTTAGGTAATTGTAGAAAAATAAGCACAATTCTGAGGTGTTCTACAGGCTTTTAAAATTTTTTTTCTAAAGAAGTTTTCTGTTAAATGGCTGCTGGCTTATGTGGGGGAGGGACGAGAGCTGTCAGTGAATGACTTGTTAAGTTTCCAATGCTTTGAGCCTCTTTTCCAATGCTAGGGAGCAGTGCTTTAAAGAAAAATTGTTTCGATTCAGGTATGTTTTGCAGTCAGAACATTCTAAGGATAAGAAGGACTTGTTATCCTGTGTAAATTGTGAAATGTATCAATTTAGGTAAACTTTTTTTGGAATTTTTTTTTGAGTCAATACCATACAATTTCTGAAGATAGCTGTACTGTTGAGGACTGTTCTTGTCATCAAGTGGTTCAGTGGGTGTGAAACACCAGGGCTACTTCAAGTCTGAGTAAAGGCTTAAGTACCAGAAATGGAAAACTTCTAATTGCATAAGATATTTATTGATAAGTATCTGTTTCTTCTTTTCTCGGAATGATTCATTTTAAAGTCACCATAAGAGCAAGTCTATGCTACTATGTAAATATTTTCATATTCAGTAATTCATGTGGAGAAGCTGGAATGATGACAAGGATGAGGAGGAAATTCTGAGAAAAAAAATGTTTCTTGCAATGTCTTGAATTATATCCATCCCACACGCTGACAGCTGCAAGCACCAGGCAGAAAATCCTCAACAGAGAGTGAATTTAACAGGTTGCTTAGGGGGCTAATATTTGTAAGTGAATTATCATTTTACCTTCATGCAGTAATAATGTATTAAGGGCTCCCAAATGGTAATTTAATGTAGCTGAAGGTCTTCAGAAGGTTTTATAGTTTCTTAAGTAGATAGAAACTGATATATCCATCCCTTGGACATAAAAATAGCTGTTATGAGCTATGAAGGGGATCTTAGGTTGTTTTGTATTCACTTTGGCCTACTGATGGTGAGATTTTTCCCAAGACCTGAAATAACCCTGAAATGTAGCAGGTTAGTTTGCAACAGGTCAACAGACAACTGATGTCCAGGATGTAGACATTTGGAGCCTATTTTGATAACGTTGCTGTAGGAGGGCACTAGTTTGAGCATTAATTTCTTGGCATTTTTTAAATGCTAGACAAACGTGTGCCTTTCTCGTGGAAGAAGAGAAGGATGATGTCAGGCACTCGAAGAAAGGGAAGAACAGTGTTTGTAGACCTTTTGTTATATTTGTGTTTCCTTATCCAGCAGATCACTCACTCTCAGGCACTTAGCGAAAAGAAGACTTGATTTAAACAGCAGCTTTTGTGAAACACTGAGCTAGGGACATTTTTCTCCATCTGAAAAAGCAGATGCTCACTATATTCATTGCTCTGATCATCCCCAGTGCTGAGTGCTTGAGTACTTCTGCTTCTTTTGAAGGCAAGGAAGTAAAATTGTCACCCTCCTCCTCACAGGTGGGTTTTCTTTATCAGAATCTGTCTCTACAGTCTAAAGGAGATGTTTACAATACTTTCTTTCTGTTAAAACAATCAGGCAAAAGTTTCAAGAAGCAACGTTGATCTATGCTTTTTCAAGGTTTGATGCCAAACCTTAGATACACCAGTCCACATTTAAAACTGCGAGGCTTTCATCCACATCAGTGGATGCAGCACTCAGTTACCACCAGTGGAGCTTTTCCTTGTTAGCTGTTTAAAGTTGCATCGGAGCAATGTTCCAACAAGCCCTGCATCTACCAACAGTGGAGGATTCTGCCTAAACTTCACACCAGTTTAGGAACAAAATCACTGTCACATTTTTTAAATCCTTGCTTTCCTGAATAATTGCAGTTCTGGTATCAATCAGTTCTTCTTTTATTCCTTCTCACACCAGAAGAATTTGGATTCCCCAGTTTTTGTGTTGTGTTTTGCACCTCACTTTCACTTTGCTTGATACAGCACTAGTGCTCATGGTAGGAACCTGGGGACAAAAGTGCATAGAACTGTGGTGGACATGGTCTGGCTGTTGCCAAAACAGACTGCCAAACTGTCTGAGACATGGTTGGTTGATCTACTTTGTATCTGTTCCTCCTCTCCATTGTGGCCACCTGGGTATTTCTGAGACACCAGATGAGAAATGGGTCCTCTTAATATCAATGAGACTTTGACTCCTGTATGACATTAAGGAAAGTTAAGCTTTCCTGAATTGAGATATCTCTTCCTGCCTTCTCAGGTGATGGGGACAAAATGGTGGTTCTTTGCTTCCGAAGAGCATTCTTAATGATTTCTGAAGTTAAAGATTTTTCTCTTTACTTGCAAATGATGGCACACATGACAAGTTGGGTATAACACAGTCATGTGTGCTGATACTTAGCAGGTGAGAAGATTTTGAGGTTTATGCTTCTCTCTATCTCAAAAATATTAGTTTGCATAAACCTTGTTTTTATGCTGACAAGCTGATATATTACTGTGGACACACAACTGGCCATTAGCTGATAAAAGAAAGAGGAAAACCACAGTCAATTCTGAGAGATTAGTCAGTATTAGAAGAAACAGATGGCTTGGAAAAGATTAGAAGGGGGAATATTTGAGTATTCTAGTTAGTAGTTAGATCAATTCCAAAAGTGAAAATATTCATTGTGCATTTTGAGCATAAACTTTTACTTTTCTTTGATTTATAAAACATCAGCTGGTTTCAGTCTGGTATCAGAGTGCTTACACAACAAGACAGTCTTAATTACTCATTTCAGTTTAAATTGGCTGGAGTTGTGATGTTAATTGAATTGTTTTCCCTTTGCAGGGACCTCAAGGGCCTCCAGGACAAAAGGTATAGTATAAACAACAGTGCTGTGAAAGTGATTATTCCTCCTGTGCCAAATGGCAGAGAAGCAGAAAAGGTGAATGGAATAAGCTACTGTACACTGCATTGAATCAATTAGCTTAGGTTCTGAGTTTTATTTTTATGAAATGGAGCCATATAATGTGAGACATGAGATTTCTCATTTCCCCCATCATAAGATGTTCAAGCAATGTGGAGCAGGCTGTTTTCAATCTGGCTGCTTAACTTTCAGTTGAAAAGGTCACTATAATTTTCTCATTCATACACTGGTATGATTAGGGAACCAAAGTTAAAATGTCGTGAAAGGTGGGGAGATAAAGTTTCTGATTAAATGCATGTCTACTCAAGTAGATCAGTGCCATATGACTGAAGAATTGACCAGAAGAAACAAAGGATGTAGGTGTTGCTGATAAATAGTGCTTGGTTGGTGGCGTTCAGGTGGTCTGCTGGTGTCTTCCTGTTCCTTCGGTAACCTGAGATCTGACTTCCTGGGAATGCCTTCAGCGTTATTTATACTCATTAAAGCTGACTGCCTTGGTTTGATTGAGTGAGTTTAGGATTTATGGAATTATGCCATTAAAACAGTCCTCAGAATATCAGCACTAACAGTTAGTGAGTGGTACTTTTTCGGCAACTGACTCACATACCACTAAGGTGAGTAATTTTCTAGCTGATTTCAAAAGATTGAAAAGTTGTATGAAAGATATCTAATAAAACAGCTATAACTTGCATAAAAGAAAAAAAGGGGGAAGGAATAAGTAGAATTGACATATGTGAGAAGGATATCTGCTTATCTTCTTCTGAGATAATGTTCTTTAGAGTGAAGCATCTTTTAAAATGAATTTTTTTAACAAAAGGAAGAAAAATCATAATCCTAAAGTATATAAATTGGTGGAATTTTGACAGCTGTGGGCTGTATAGTTTGCAGGCTGAAGGAGAGGACTACCCTTTGTGTTTGGTAATGCAGGAATGTGGCTCATGTCTAAGCTGCCTTTATAATGCTATACCCTGAGAATTGTGGAGGAGGATACTTTGCGTGTGCAACATCAGCAAAACCCACGTGCTGATGGACTTTTGAATATCTGATAAACATTTACTTATTTTACATTTTCTAACATCCTGTGTTTTGTAAGGAAAATAATCAGCTGCCACTGAGAGGAGGAACTGTTATATATAGGATAGTTTATTGAGGCTGATGGTTTAACGCCCTCCTGAGCTTTGCCTTCTAGTGTTTTGGAAAACTGATACAGAGATGTGAAAATGTTCACTCAGGCCCCTTTGCAGTAGCTTAAAGCCATGACCATGCATACAGCAAAAAGAGAAAACAAGGATGCTGGAGTGGAAACTTTGAGAGAAAGGGGAGTTCACGGAGATATGCTGGGATGCAGTGTATTATTTCTTACTGATTCAAAGCTCTGTTACTAGCTCTTGGAGGGTTTTTGAGACCCTCATGAGTTGCTCCCTTTTCCTGTTTCACAGACTTTCCCAATTCTATTAATTGATAAACGTGTGCATCCATTTTGGATGAGTTTCCTTTGGTTATTGGTGATAATTTTAGTGACGCCTCCAACCAAAATAGAGGGGGAATTGCCATGCAGCAAGTCTTTCAGTTTCCTTGCTGAGCAGCACTGTCTTTATAAAGTAAGAGGAGAATGCTGAACAAGCGGATGCAGCTTTCCTGCTTTCCTCATGCTTTGTGTTTTCACTGAAAACTGTTTCCATAGCAAGTTGCATAAAGTCCTTAAAAAAATTATCCATCACATAGAAACTTACAGTATGAGAGCTTTGTAAAAAAATCCCTCCAATGTTATAAGTAATTGTTAATTTTTTTCCCTTCTTTGTCCCTTGTGTTTGGCCTGTATTGACCTTTTAATTTTGATGGCACTAATATTGGTGCAGTTTAAAAATGTATCTTTAATTTGTACTGTCAGACTGAATCACTGCAGATTATCTCTTGAAAACCTTTAGAAGGATTGGTTCTACAAATTATTGAGCTTGAATGATCCCTCTAGAAGCATTAATGGTTTTGTTCAGGTGCTATATTCAATTGTATGGGATCAGTCTCAAAACTTATTAAGAGCATTAAATGGAATAGCATTTTAATTCTTACATTTCTTGTGAAGCATCCACAGCATTACAAAACATGAGCTTGAAGCATGTTTCTGGAAAAGGCCATACAGTCTTTAAAATGTACAACATGAGAAAATGCCTAATTAGTATAAAATCTCAACCGAAAGGAGAACGCAGCTTGAGTAAAAATGAGTTCTTGAAAAATTTATTGCAGCTACAATAAGCAAACATTCACTGTTATTTCTAAAAACTGTATTATGAGATGAAAGGTTTCATTACCTGTTTAATTTGCTAAACACTGGCATCTGTTCCCCTCCAGGGTTCTGTCGGAGTGCCTGGTGTTCCAGGGAGAGATGGACAAGTGGTGAGTTCTCTGACTTTTTCAGTGCTGCTGTTATTTATGTAGTGGATTAAAGCAATTTTGGCCTTGTTCTCATGAGCAATATGCAACATTATATCCAGAGCTGTGGTTTCAAATTCATGGAAAAGAATCATATAAGGTGCTTTGTGCTCCGAAGTAATTTTTTTCTAGTTTTACCTGAACAAGCAGCAAATGTAATTAATTAAGCTGAAAATCTAGTGTTCAGATTTGGTGGTGACTGATAGGTTGTAGAAAGAAATGCGTATTAATAGTGTGTTACTTGAGTCAGCATATTTACAAACAAAGAGTTTTTTACTTTTTGTTAACTCAGTCCCATGATGCAAAAACTTACATTGATATCGGGTATTGATATGGTGCCAATACATTGTTAATGCAATTTATAAATAGAGAAAGAAAACGAGATGGAAGTGCAGCTGGAAGATAATTTGAATCTGAATTTTGGGGATGAAAACACAAAGGAATAAATTAAACAAATATTTTTGAACACAAACAAGAGAAAATGCTAATTTAGGCAAGTCACTGTCATTCCTAAGTAAAATCATAGGTCAGAGTGGCCCACCATAAGGCGAGGTCACAATATAGCAGCAGGGCTGTGTTACAGAATTGCTAAGATTTCTTGGAAAGTCTGGGTGATGAAGTTTAAATAGTATGCCTCCTTGTCTGTAAAGAGTATTATCCATCTGTTGTTCTCACAAGCCCTAGCATTCCTAGTGAACTTCCAAGGAATGCCAGAAGGAAAATGAATGATATATGTGTTCACCAGGTTGAAGCAGCAGCAGATGGTAGTGTATAAGGGTTGTATTAGACAATCCTCTCTTCTGCTTCCCTCACCAAGAGCCCTAGGAATAAGTGTTAAGATGTTTCAAATAATTTACTTTTAATTCTTCTTTCTTAAAAAAAAAAAAAAAAGGATGTACTGTTTCTAATAGCATTATACATAGTATTAGACCTGTGTTTTTAGAGTGCTTATAAGAAATAATGTAATAATCATTTATTTCACTTTAGTGATAGGAATTTATTTTTTAACTATTCTGACTATTATGACTAATGTGAAACAACAAAATAAAAAATACTTAGAATTAGCTATATATATATACACATATATACATGTATATATAAAATACCAGAATATATAAGAAAATAATATGAAACAAATTTGCATTAAGTCCTCAGATGTTTTCCTTCATATTTTATAGCTGCATTCAATTGCAACAGGAATGGTAGACAGTGCTTACCAACTGAGATGCTGTTGCTGTACATAATACAAGTAATTTTTGTTGCCTGACTAAAATGCCAGTGAAAATTTACTTTTTAGCATGTCTGTAGGAATATGTAAGAAGACTGGATGGGGTGAAGTTGGAAACCACTTTGAATAGGACAGAATTGATGATTCATATTTTATTCAGGAACTTTATTTTTAATAGTAAGCAAACAAACTCCAGCCAGAAAAATTCACTCAGATGAGCAGAAAAATTGATATTAATGAAATGTGTCAAATGTGTGATTAATATGTCATTTTGAAATGGAGACAGGGAATTTTTTTAAGCTCTATGGCAAGGTATATTTTTAGGATACCACATAGACTTACCTGCTGTCATGTTTCAGGGGCCATGAAAAATGTGCTGTTGAATATTATGGGAAGGTGCAAGCATATCTTTAAATGTTGATTATTAATTTTAAATTGTGCTTTTGAAAAAAACTCAAAAATTTTCAATTTATGGGTGTCTGTTTATTTGATTTACTTCAACATTCATGGCGTCTATAACTTCACAGACATTTTAAAATTATTACCACTTAATTAAAGATGTCAGCGTGGTTTTGGTGTAGCTGGACTGCTTTGCTTTTGACCTTTGAGAAAAAAACCTACATTACTGAAGCGAAACATAGGTACCAGGACAAAAGCCACACAGATAAAAATAAATTGCTGTTGCATTCTTTTGTTTGATGTCCCCACTGTTGGTCGGTATTGACTAGAAAGCACTTCCTCATTTGCAAAAAATATATTATTTTCATATAATACTACACAGGTGAAAGCTGAATGTTGCTATCTCTTTTAATAAATAGATTTAAAAATTCTGTTAACTTGGAAATAGTGGTAGAAATTAAGTTTAAACTGAAGCAGTGTTTGTCTAAAGTTAGAAATTATAATGCAGCCTCGGAATCCCATGTTAATATTTTCCAATCAAAAGGTCATTTCTTCCATTCTCTATGAAAAAACAGATTCTCAGTGCAGTGTGACACACAAGACACACAAGATGTTAAATGAGGACCAGAGTGGTGATTTTAAGTGTTGGTCTGTACTATGAGCCAGCTGCTGGCACTTCTGGCTTTACTCATTCGGATTCATGGTGACTTGCAGAATAGTTGGGTTCAACTTGCATGTGTGATGTGAGTCATCCCCTTTTTAGAAGTTACTTAGTTAAAAGACTTTACAAAAGCGTTACTGTCTTGGTTGCCTTTTGGTCAGTGAGCTTGCTCTGTCAAACAGCAGCATGTGCAGTACACTGAGTTCCAAGTTAATATTTTTCCTTAGTTTAAAAGGCAGTGAGTGTTAAGCACATGCTTAAAATTAAGTGTGTGAATGCTTTTCTTGTTTGGACAATGAAGTATTTTTCAGCTGATGAATGTCAGCTTTGCTCGGTCCTCAAGCAGTTGAACAAAACAGTTAGGTCATTCCATCTTCTACGCGCCTCTGTAATTTTCCTTTTTCTTTCTTTTCACCTCTTCTTTAATTGAAATACTGGGTAATGGGAGATGATTGACAAGTCTGACCAATAGGTCTGGGAATGAGATCATAAATTCTGAGTGCATTTACAACAGTTTTCTAATCCCTTAACATATGAACCACTTCTCTTAGACAATCTCTAGATATTAGAGAAAGTGTAATTTTACATAACCCACATGTTTTTGCAGGACTGTTAACTAGTAGATTTTTCTTGTATTCAGAGTAGCAAAATCGCTGCCATAAAACCTTCACACATTAGGCCAAATCTAGTGAAACATTACAGATAGTCTTGCAAGGACATTTACAATCTTCATTTTTTGCTAAACTACAGGAAGTTTATTCTTGAGAACAGTAACTGGAAAGGAGCTGCTTAATAATACCTGTAGCTGGAGAGAGTGTTGTTTCTGGGATGGAGCAAAACTTGCTGAGATAAGGAGTCTTTCTTAGTGCCCCTTTACTTTTGCAGACTGTTGGGCAATCCACGGGTTTCTTTCTACCACAATGCAATGGCAAATAAACTTCCCTTTCTCCATCCCTGGCAGAAGCTCCTCAGACACTTGAAAAGTATAAAAAAGCATTAGTTCTGCATGGAAATAGGAGGTTGCAGTGATCTAAGGATATCATATCCCCCCCACATTAATCATGTTGAAATGGCCACAAAAGGCTTCCTGAAAAGTTCAACTCTGCAAGTACAGAATTTGTATTCTGGTATTTGTTAAGCGGTGCTGATTTGAGAAGGGTGCTCAGTGACTGCAGTGGTGACACAAGGAGAAAAGTAGAGGTTTCTTAAGATGGTATTTGGCCTAAAGAAACCCAGTTTCTGGAGTTTGTGCAAGTAACTCTCTTTGTTATAAATAAGAGTTTGCTTGGAGTCCATAACCCTCACTTTCAACTTCCATAAATCGCTTTTTCTTATGCAGTACTTGATATTTTGGTGGGGCTTTTTGTAAGGGTGTGGCGAAAACAGAATGAGTGGTCAGGATAGATCCCTTCATTTTGAATTCTTTTGGTAGATTGGCAAAGCAATTTGCTAAACCTCAGAAGAATTTTCCTGATCAGTAGATTCAGAGTCTGGGTATGCACATTTTTTATTTCTTTCTTCATGCTTCTTGTTTCTCTAATTTACATGTATTTCCTTATTACTGTGTACAGTGCTGTGTACAAACACATTTTGAAGGTAGCAGTATCAAATTTCTTCAGCGAAATGAGGAAGGGTACGCGTGTGCTAACATTTTTTCAAATAAAGGGAGAAAGCATCATAAGTATAGTTCACAAATTCTCAGACAGGTTTGCAGGCCAGCTGAGTCTTGTTGAAGAGCCTTTCTGTTTAATTTCAGTTGGTGAATAGGCCAGGAGAGATTTCCAGTCCTTAAACAAACAATTTTAAGTTACTTTTGAGGGGCACAAGTAGCAAGTTGAAAGGAATTTAATTCAAGCCTGGTTTGAAATGGAAATCGTAGTAACATATCTGAAAAAAACACTTTTTTACCCTCTGTCCTCATCTATGTATTTTAGAGTAAAATTAGACTGGATTAAGTTTGGGGCCTCTTGTGTTTCCTTACCCCTAAACTGATTACATTCTAGTGACTGAAAAATATAGCAATACTGACAGCCTTTCTTTCAGGGTGAGGTGGATATCAACCAGCTGGTGTAGCCATTATGCATCTCACCAAAACAAAACCTATTTCAGAACAGCAGCCTCCAGGCTTCCTTTTCAGTTACAAACAAGAAAAGCTGGGGCCTCCAGCCATGTTATTTTTAGCTGATTAATTCTGGATATTAAGGTATATGCCTCAAGGGCAGAAAGCACTCCAGTAAGGAGAAGCATGCTTTCAACTGTTTCAACTCCTTTGATATGGACTCCAGTGGGTTATACATTTTCAGACCTGTTCTGAAGTAGATTTTATGAATTCGTATTGACAGATTTTTTTTCTCGTATTACCAGCAGAGCCCAAGCAATGCTCTATAAATTAGAGTACTCACCAAATTCAAATTTACTTCAGTGTAAGCATTAAGACTGCCCCAGCACAAGAGTATCTGAGGATACTACTACACCTATTTATTGAGCAGGGTGCTGAAATTTGTTCTTTGCCCAAGTAGAGGAAAGACAGTCTGTCAGTGTTAATTCAGTTATGCAGTTAATACAGGCTCAAGAGTGTCAGGACTTGAACCAAGGTGTTCTGCCATGTGTCCAAAGGAATATCCTTCTGCTTTTATTTTGAATTATCGGAAACTACTGAATTGAATGGCTTCGTTGTGTATATTCTTGATATGTTAGCATTTTGTTTGCCTTGATCATTGATAGCAGTTGGAAGAAAAAGCCACTTTTGAGACTCAGTGCATTTTGTTGAAGCCATTTCTATAAATTATCAGGTTTTGAATAACTAAAAGTGATCCCCTTTGTAACTCATTCAGTCATGCCTCAACATTGCAGTTTGCTGATAACAGTCTTTCTAATTCAGTGCAGTAGGGACAGTAACTTAGTTTGTTGGACTGCTGCTATTTTTGAGGAACCAAAGTGCTTATCCTCCTATCAGGGCATTTGGGGTTAACATGTGGAACTGTCAATGGCAGCTCCCCATCTACAGGTTTGCTCCTGAAACATGGTAAATGCTTTCCTGTTATTGACAGTAAACAAACATTACAACTTATCTCTTTGAAAATGAATTATCAGTATTCCACTGATGGGGACTCTGCAATTTCTCTGTGGTGGGTAAACAACAGCAAAACAATCCCACTGTGTCTGCAGCATACTTCTCTGTAAGTTGTCATTAAATAAATTATTGGAACATTTACAAGCCTGCTGAGTTAAGCTGATTGATTTTGGGTAAGAGAATGAATAACAGAACATTTGCTGGAAAATTTTATTTCCACCATTCTGAGACCATTTGTGAATTTGGCAAACTGAAAAAAATTGGATTCTGGTGATGAATAACTGGAGACTTCAGTGTCTATAAGGGTTCTAGTGACAGTGTCTTTTTCTGCAAACAGACCAGAGGCTAGTGAATTGCCTTCTAGTACTTTTTTCATGAAATTTGGGAAAAGGAAGTTTTTCTAGCATTTTCCAATAGTTTATTCATCTATTTGTGCAGTGGGCCATGTCATGAAAACAGAACTCTTCGGGTTGGTCAAGTTACACAAAGGCAAGATAAAAATAACTTCAAATGAAAAAGAAGTCAAGGATTATCTAAACGGTATTTCTAATGCAATATTTGAGTGTTTACCAGTGTGGAGCATGATGTTTGTGCATCTGGTAGTTTTGTTGCTGCTTTGGCACAACAGAATCTTGATAGACAGGATGTTCAGGTAAGATGGTGCTGGTACCACTGCATCCCATGGAGCTCTAGCTCTTTTCCATCACAGTTAAGCCACACGTTGCTGAGGTGATGTTTGGGAATCATAGCCCATCTCAGTGCCAGGAGGGAGAATTTTATTTTTATTTTGGTGTATCATGGTAGTTCCACACAATGTTTGTTGCACAGGACAGCTTCTGTGGTGTGGTTTAGCTGGGAATAAGAATGCAAAAAAGGCAGAAAGTAACAATTTCTTTAAACTGAGTACTGAGGCACTTCACACCTCACTACAGCATCTTCTCCACTGTCCATTACTTTTAGAGAGAAGTTCCATGGGGATGCTCTGAGGGTATCTTCACACAATTTCTTTGGGTCTTACATGTTTTTCTTGTGTGAAGGTGCAGTTCAGCCCTCATTAATTCTCTAACTGGCATCATGGGTTGTGTTTTATAGACAATAAAAAGTTTTAGAACAATTGCCATCACTCTGTTATTGAGTGGTAATTTCTCAGGAGTTCATGGGTAGAGAAAGGCAAGCTGTGAGCTAAAGTTCAATGTACTATAGAATAAATAGGTGCACTATAGAAAAGTTACTCTTTAAATAGGAAAAAAAACACTGTTGAGGCCACTCTTAGAGTACTGTGTCCAGTTGTGGGCTCCTCACTACAAGAAAGACATGGACATACTGGGTAGAATCCAGGTAAGGTCTCAAAGATGATATCCAGAGGTGCCTTCTAAGTTCAAGCATTCTGTAATTCTATAAAATAAAAAAGAAATAAGAATGTGCTGCCTTGATTTGAAAGCTAGTTGATGTGCAGAAGACAATTGTTTCTGCAACCTAACACCTTGCTGTCAATGCTATTAAAGGGAGACTATAACAGCAGTCAGGAAAGACATTAACCATGGCGTGGTGAATGTAAAAAACATATGACACTGAGGATTTAGCTTTACAGCTTCTTTAATTTTATCAGGTTGAAAAGCAGTCTTATTTAAATTGTTGTGTTGAGTGATGATGTTGAATGTCTGGTGTTCCCTTGCATGCATCACTCCTTGAATAGCAGTATCATCATCTTCAGCCTCTTAAAGGTCAGCTGTGCTTTTTGTTCACCTCCAAAACACTAACCTCTGGGGCTGAAGTGTACCTGTACAGCATTTTACACTCCAGTTTTACTCGTACAGCATTTTGCACTCTGGTTTTAATACATGCTTTTAGTAATAAATAGATGAATAAATAAAAGTAAGTAAATGGAAGAAAACTAACTAACTATACTTCCTAAGAGAAATATTTTAAATTATTTTCATGCCAAGAATCAAAATCATTTTTTGGGGCCAACATGGCTAAAATGACACAGTGTTTGAGTAGGGAAGAGCTATCAATCTACTCGTCTTCAAAAGTTAACAACTCTTTGCTTCATAACTACTTTGAGGAGAGAATTTTTATTTTTGTTTTGTGGCTTGGTGTTCTTGTTTATTTGGGGGGTTTATGTTAAGGCTTACTGGAATTGTAAAAATATCTGCCCATAATGCAGACTGCCAAGCCTACAAGACATGCAGAGTGATGGAGGCTCCCTGGCACAAAGCTTGTTGGCTGTGCACTGGGAATGTTCATCAGGGCTGGGACATAGAGCTGCTTATGGGCAATACATTTTCACTTCAACATATTACTCTCTGATTCCTTGTACAGACAAGAAAATAGAGTTCTAACATAGGGAAAGGAATATTTTTCCTGTTCTTCTGATCATTAGAAACAGAACGATAATCACTTCAAAAACATAAACGCACAAGGTCATTTTTGTGTTATCCTTCTAGGTTTGCCTTCAATCTTTCCCATTCCCAGAGCTAGTTTCTGCACTTCAAATATCTCTGCCTAGTAGAGCACTAGAAGCACTATAAGTGTAGTGCTGAACATAGCAAAGTTGCATATAGGTCAGAAATGTGATTGCTCTGGTGTGAAAGGGGATTTACTATGACTAGGTGGCAGGCTGAGGTTTTCACTTTTTTCCAAAGAAGTAAATTTTTTGTTCTATTTTTTCAGTCTCGTTTTTGTCACAGCAGTAGCCCTCTGCATCCATAGCACTGATATGTAAACCTGTGAAGAAAGTGCAAGCTTGGAACGTCAACATTTTGCTTAGAGATTTAAGCCCCTGAAAGCATCAGCCGACAGCAGCTGTTTGAAAATGAAGGGGACAGTAACAAGCATGTTTGGGGTGTGGGGATGAGAAGAAGCAAGTGTATATTCATGGGTCCCTTCTGCTTCGTTTTGTCAACTAGCAATTTTCATCAAGAGCCTTTTATTTCAATCCTTTAGGACACTTGCACCTAATCTCCAGCAGCTTCAAATCCTGACCACTCATATATCAAACGCCCGTGCCACTTTATCAGCCTCACAGCTACTGTAGTACAAAGGGGCCTTGAGAAATGGCCGGCACAAGTGACTATTTAATTCCCTGAGGGTACCTAACATTTTTTGCTCTGGCTTGGAAAATGCCTCACTAGAGTTTTGCTAGAAGTTTGATGATTTTGGTTTGTTTTTTGAAACAGCCCAATTCTTGATGAAATTAAAATGTAATTAATGATTCCATTACCTAATTCAGAAATACAATGGAACTTGCTTTCACGGACAATTAGAGTTAATACACTTATGATTAAATCTGCCTGCAGAAGTAAGAAAGAGATAAGTTCTTAATACAAGGCTTTTATGGAGGACTAGAAAATATATCTTGTGTTTGGAAAAGCCTTTATCTTAATGCCTCTGTAACTTTCGAGTAGAGGATTGGTTCATCATGCGTGTTAAATTTGAACACTCTATGAAAATTGTTCACTGAGTTTCTGATGCAAATTACTGTTCCAAATTTGATTGCTATGTTAGCTGTTGGATTTAACTTTTCCACATTTTTTTACATTTAGATAGCAAAGACCTTTTAGAGGGACCTAGTTGCAGACTTTTAAGAATCTTTTTTTGGCTGTTATTTTAATGTGCTTTGCAATATCAGAAGTGTGATGCAGTTCTCTTTGTGAGGGTTATCAAAGGTAATTCTTGTGAAACTGAGATATACATTTGCAGAAGCTTTTACATAATAAGCCATAAGGTCTAGTTGTTTTACAATAAAGTCTAACCATTGCATTATCATTTTATCTAAAATGAATATCTGTGGTTTCCCCATAAGTGTAGAATATAAACACTATGTAATATCTTCTAGAGGGTTTTTTGTTGTTGTTGTTGCTGTTTGACTTGGGTTTTTTTTTGTTTGCTTCTTTTCTTTATTTTTAAAATTGAAGACCGGAAAGAAGATTGAAAATGGGTGTTATTTGCTGATTGACTTATGAAGGTCATTTATGACTCCTTAAACTGTAGAAGAATAAAATACTACCCATAAAACATACCCAAAATTTGGAACACTGATGTAATGCTGACAGTTTTTAAATATTTTAAAACCACTTTTCTGCTACTGGTATAAGAGTATAAAAATGGACAAGCAAAGGATATTTTAAAAATTGAAAAGCTCTCTGTTTTTCCAAATTCTTCCATTTCTGAAACAGGCCCCTCTCAAAAACACAAATGTCAAAATAAATTAAGATAAGCCTTTCTTGCAGCATTTCTAAGTTGTAGGAAAGAGGAAAGCATTGGCAGTTTTGCTGGGAAGACTGTGCTTTTAAGGTTAATTGGACAGATTTTAAGAATCAGGAGTCACAAGTCTCCTTTCTATTTAGTGTGACATCTGTGTGTTTCCACCTCTGTCAGCAGAATAATTTCTTATCTTAAATGGGTTAGTTAATCCACCCTAACTGGCGAAATAAGTAATTTTAGTGCCCAGCTGTGGAGTACATGTTTGCAGAGTATTTTAAGATTTTGTTTATCATTACTTACCCCTTATGAGAAGCTTCATATATTTCATCATGTCCTTCTTACCTTCATTTTTCTTTTCTTTGCCTTTAGGGTGAACCTGGCTTGCCTGGCATAGCAGGAGAGAAGGGAGAAGCAGGGCTCAAGGTCAGTATGAAAATGGATTAAAAACAGAAGCACATAGTATGTGAGTGCATATGTAGATGACAGTTGTGCTTTCCCGCTTGGGTTTATATTCTGACTGGCTTTTAATGATCTGCTCCCTCCAGTGATCAGTGCTGTAAGAGGCTTTACACATCTCATCATAAAGAAGCATATTCTTCTGCTGTGCATGTATAATTCCAGTCAGTGGCACTGAGGCATAGACATTCACTGCCAACTCAATGCAATATGCCTGCAAGTGTTTGGGAATCTGGGGACCTTTTGAGAAAGGCTTTGTTTATGCCCCTTACAATGTGTTTCAAGCTTCTTTTCAAGAACTGCTGCCGTCAATTCTTTGTCAAATGTCAGGGTGAAATCGTGAGGGCTGATCCTGCTATTCTGGAAGTTAGCAGCAAGCCTCATTAGAAGCATGTCTCAGACAGTATTTGTTACATCAGAATTACTCTTTGCACTTTATTGTTATATAGTTTGTTCTGCTGTTTTAATATCAAAAAAAGGAAGTAGAACATAAAGCTTATGATAACTTCATTTAAAAGAAAACATGTCCAAGATGATGGGATCTGTGGGCCTCTTGGAGGGGGCAATGCTAAATTCTAATCCCATCAGCTGCAAGTGAGTGTCTCTGGTGCACATATTCTCCTCAGCTGATTCTGTGCATCGTGCTGCTGCTGACAGACATGCAAGGCAGCCTCTTTACATTTACTGACTGGCTGCTTGTCCATAAGGAATGAAAACAAACCATTTGGGAGCATGACCTTTTCTTACTTTGTATACAGAAGAAGCCAAATTATGGCAGTTGATGCTTAATTCGTATTCACAGCTGTAATCCCTGAGTTACCTAGCGACTGCCAGCCATCAGAAGGGGCAGAGATGAGCCAGATTGCAGCTCTGAACCAGAAACGCAGAGATGAGTTATCAGGGTCAGGCTGGTGTGCAAAAGTACTTTTGCAGTTTCTCGAGCATGGTTTAATTTTGAAAAAAAAAAAAAGGATGTAAGCCATCTTATAACAGAGGTTGTTAGAGACAATATAAGGAGCACTGAAGGCTCTTTACTCTTAAACAGTTATGAATTAGCTCAAGCCACTTAAGGCATTTTCTCTCTCTTGAGGAACCTTCTGAGCCATTGACAGAATCATAAGACCTTCCCTTCACATTCAGACTTTTTGTTTCCTTTGTTCCCAAAACAAGGAGAATCACGTGTAGGAGCCAGCTAGGGCCCTGCAGGTTGCAGGTTCTCAGAGACATATGCCTGTTTGTCAGGGTCTAGGACAACATAGTGAGAGAAGTCTTCACATGCAAACCATTGACACTTTAAAAAAATATATATTGAAGTTGTACTGTGCATTGAGATCTGTTAAATTTACATATTTTATTGTTCACTGGAGATTTTCTTGTTTTGTTGTATCATCTGAGACATGGTCATCAGTAGTGACATAGGTATTAGTAGTGATAGTAGTACTAACATTACTAATAACTAATGATAGTAAGGCTAACACTTTGATTTTTGCCAGAGTTAGTAACTTACAACTTTTTTGCTCCAATTATTTTTCTTAGGGTGACCCTGGAGAAAGAGGAGAAAAGGTGAGACGTTTCATTTCCTTTGTTGTGGTTCTGTTCAGATAACTTGCTTGGAGAATCACCAGCGCACCGATCCCAAGTTTAAAAAAATAAAAAGCCACAGCTACTGTTCAGCTAGAACTTGAGTGGAAATGTGCAGCCTTTCTGAGGGTCAGATAATACCTACTAATGGAAGTTACTGATCTTTGATTACTACAGAGGGATTAGTCACAGAGTGCAGTGATTGTGTTAAAGGCTGCACAGCTGAGCAATCAGTCCTAACTATGGTGGGTCTCAGAAAATGATGAGCCTGTCTGAATAAATTAGAAATCCACACGTTTCTCATAACTTGGTTTTGATGCTCTGACTCTGTGTGGAATAAAACAATTAGGTAACAGAATGATAAAACTACGTGGATTCTAAATGATACCTAGATAACAAGTTCTCCACATACTAAAAATGGAATGCTGCATTTGTGTTTGAGTCAGTTTAAGTAAGAGCAAGGGAGTCTGCCCCCACGATCTTCTAGTGATGCTGTCTGGAGAGGCACCAGCAGCACAAGTGGTGCACTGACAATGCTCTTACTTGCACTGATGGTGCTCTTTCTTGCACTGAGTTAGCAAAAAATTGCTTCTCTGATGTCCAGTCATACCAAGGCAAGACAAAGGGGTGGAACAAGCCCAATACTGCAAAGGAGGAATACAATTCTGCTCTTCCAGGAGTAGTGGCTGGTAGGAGCACAGTAAGTTTAGAGTTGAGCTGCCTCATCTGCTCACAGGGGCAGTTTGAGAAATAGCATAAGCCTTATTCTGAGTAGGAATCCGTGCACAGCATCATCTTCTGCGAGTATACTGAGCTTATGTTTAAAAAGTAAGTTGTTTGTACTGAGGTGCAATTTGCTCTTGAGAAATGTTTACCTGCGTCCTTGCAGCTACAACTGAATTTCACTTCCACATCTGTGTAAATCTGTGTAATAGCAGCTGGAAGCATTCTTTGCTGAGGCAATTCATTTCACCTTTTCAAAAACACACCATAAAAAGAATCGAGGGAGATCTTGAAAGTCTGTACCCCACATGCAGAACTATGTAATCATGAAATACTCATCATGCAAAAATTTCTTCTGTTAAAATGATATTTTTTAAGTACTTCAATAATCCTTTGTTTTCAGACATGAAAGGAATAACAATGAATTTTAATACTTAAAACCATTATATTTTTCCATAATTATCCTTTGTGTTTTTCTAAAAAGTTACAGATACCCTCAATATGCTTTATCATGTCAAATGAACTTGGGATGATATTCCTCAGTTACTCTTCCATGTTTCATATATATTTCCTTAACTAAAGTGCTGCTAGATTGTTAGCTAGTTCCCATTGTATCAGTGACTGTGTATAAATTGCTAAGTCCTCTCCAAATGGAATTTCACCATTAAGGTTTTCAGAACAATATGACAGATACTGAATAATGTTACTTGAATAGTACTACTGGTTATCTGACCAAAGTCAGGACTGTGTTTTTAGTCTACTTAGGCTCTGTTTTTATCAATATTTTTTTGCATTTTAAATACTTCTTGCACTTTACATGAACCTCAAGTCCCACAGAAATTTTTAGCCTATCTTCTTAACATATAACAACATATAACATATTTGATGTAGTCTGGACTTCTTATTTGGTTACATGACTAGGTGGGAATTAGGTCTCTTTATAGAAAATTATGGTGAAATTTTTACTTAATTTTTTTTTAGTAGAAAATATCTACTTAGCCATGAAGAAGTGTTAACTGAATGTCATTTTTTAAACAAAAACAGCGTATAGAATTTATGTAGAGATAAAGTTATTAGGTAGCTCCTTGGAGGAGTGACATTTAGTGAATTTTTTTTAGTTCGTGAATCATTCATGAAGGACTTCAGACTCAGAGAGTATATGCTATAAATTACTTGAAAATCCCAATAAAAACTACTGGAATTGTCTGACTGTCATCTGAATTTTATTAGATGCATCTAGGCTAATGTCTCTGTGTTGGGAAGAAAAATGTAGTGGTAATTTAAAGTGCTGAACCATCAGGAAATCATTAAATTATTCCTTCCTTGCTAAACTTCAGTGAAATGAGAAAGATGGTAGATAATACCAACAGGTATTTTGATACTTTGTGGTGGGGGTTTTTTATAGATCTGTGAAAGGGATCGCATTTATAGTGAAATCTGTATAAGACATAGCCACTTCCTGACCACGTCACAGAGACTATCTGATTAACAAAATCAGCTTGCATTGTTAATCATGTTGGAATGCTGACTCTTCCCTGCATACTGTGTGCTTACAGAAAATCATTAAAACATAATGTGTATTTCAATTATAGGGAGATGCTGGCGAGAATGGACTGAAGGGCGACACAGGAAAAAAGGTAACACCACTTCATGGCAGAGAAGAAAATGTGTGCCTTAGACATGCTTATAGTATAACCAACTAATGAAAATAAGAATTTGTTCAAAAGAAAAATGCATTTTGAGCTGGGTTTTTTTTAGAGGTGAGTGATTTGGTTGAGTTAATTTTTATGAACAGCAGAAAACTTTTCACTATTCTGTCCAGCTAAACATAAGATTTCTTACTTTATACAGTAGTAGCCCTAGTACAGAATATATCAGCCTGGTTGTAGCTAGCAATCCACTGTTGAAATTTGCATCATACAGAAACTTTGGTCACAATCTGCCAGTTAGAACTGCCCCTTTGAATTATACCCATGTTTTCTGATATACCCTTTAACTTTTCTCCTTCTGTGTTTCATCAAAGAGTGGGACCAAACCAATATGGGACAAAAATTGTGGTATTGTGATAGGCAACTTCCCTCCAAAATTGGCAGCTGGAAAATCAGGAGTTGATGATACACACAATTTAAATCTTTATTCCAAGTGACATCAACAATAACCTCACTTTATACCTTCTTAGTTTATTGCTGCAAAGTTCCATGATGTTGCAGAAATCATCAAAAATAGATTTTTGTCAAAATTTTTATTTTCCTGAGTTTTCTTTTACGTGAGACTCATGCTCAGAAAATTGAACTGGAGTTTTCAGTTTTCCTTACACAAGCTAGTCTTTAGCAGTTAGGGTAAAGGCTGTGTTGCACACGAGAAAGGGTCAGACATACTGATCTCTTTTGATCATGATTTTTTAATTCATTTGCTTCTAAAAACATTTATTTTAGTGACTACACTTGGGCAGAAATATAAGTACATTTTCTTGTATCCCTGCATGTGGAATGCTTAACCAACTTACAACATTTCAGTGCAAGGAGAAATTTGTGATGGATTTATCAAGTTGGTAAGGAATGCATGCAAATCCCTCAGGAGCTCTCATTTGGGTACAGTAAATCTGTACTTAGAAGAGCACAAGGATTTTAAGGCATATTCTAAAATGTCTAAAAACAGACATTAGATATAAGAATAGTCAAGTTACTTGATTCTTTGAGTTAATTTAAATAATACTTTATTCGTAGTCATGCTTATTAACACAGATTAAAGTTTTAAGAACCTTATTTACTTACTTACATGATATATGCTGGTAACATAATCTTGATCCACTCTTAACGTGATGTAAGAATATAATCCGCTTCAAGTATGAATTGAGATCGTTGTTCAGATAGATAGTTCTACAACAGGTAAATGGTAAGTTTATAATCTCTCTGGGATGCCTAGTGCAACTTCACCTGTTGCTTTTCTACTTCGTTAGCCTTGGGGGTGAGCTTGCATCCACGAGAATGCCCTTACTGCCCTGTGATCAGCAGTGTGCACATCCCCGTTTTTGACAAAAGAAAAAAGTTTTCTCTTTCTTTCAGTGGGAGATCCTTTCTGCCCAAGTATAAAGTTTTAAATACAGCTGTATGAGCTTCCAACAGTTAGGCAGTCGAGTTAGGATCAACTTGTGGAAAGTGTAGGTCGTCAGGAGACTTCTTATTTTGCTGTATCTGAAGAAATTTCAAGACACTTCCTGAACTTCATAATGTGGAAGTCTCCCAGAGGTGGGATGGTGACATGGGAATATATTCTGTTTGTTTGGAGTGCACTGCTTTAACCATAATGGGTTAGAATCTTCTGCATTCATTTTTGCCAGATTTGCCAGAACTGTGACTTCTTTGACTTTCAGTACTTTTCTTCTTTTTCACTGCCTACAAGACAATCTGCCACCCAGTAAAAAAAGATACAGTTCTTAGAGAAGAGCTGCAGCTTAAAGTTTCTGATAGGTAGCTTTGCAAACAATCCTTTCTAGAGAGCTTACGAGGGTGATTTTTGACAGATAATTTAGGAGTAAGCATTAAACTTGCTGTCATTACGTTACACTTGAGCTACTTAACAAGGTTTGTACTCTCTCCTGTTCTTCAGCATAGAGGGAAGTTTTTTGCTTAGGAGATTTAATCCATAGTCCATAAAACTTAAAAACATTTCTTTAAAAGCTTAAATAGAGTTTCTGTGAGATAAATAATAAATTTTTATTCATATGGTTAGAGAGTGAGATACCACATGACAACAGATTCAGACTTGGTTTAGGAGCAGGTTCCTGTTTATGCAAAAAATGTAGCTTTGTTTTCTGAACTGCTGTACCTAGTGACACTCAAAAATACGGACTTGGCTCCTTAATTCTTGACCTGAGACTTGAGAATTAAAATGTCTCTGTTGAATTGTCCTACTTTGAAGATGGTGTCAATGCCAAGCTTGAGTTCTTGCTTCTGTTCTTCCACTGTAGCCTTGATCCCTAGAAACTACCAGGGATCTTCCTTCTTTGTACATGTTTCCCTACTAAAGTTTCTTCATTTGCAAACTGTCTTGACTCAGCAGTGACTTGTGAACATAAACTGTACCATAATTTTTTTTCTTTGATCTAATTTTTATTCTTGCATGAAGGTGGATTATAAATACTTTGTGCTTTATCTTGTCCATATCCATCATCGCCCTTTGAAATGTTTAACCATTCGATGTGTCTTACTAGTTGTTTTGGCCCTTTATAGTTATGAAAGGTTCTTGAGGCTTTCAGTTGTACGTGTTTTTAGGGATATTCACACTGTCACTCATGCATGTCTATCAAAATGAGACAGCTCAGGGTTCCATGCACATATCAATCTCATAATACTGATTTTTGTGTTTTCTTCACTCAAGAGCTAGCTGCAGTAACTGCGTTTTCCTGTTCTTCAGAGGCCAGTGAGCATGTCAGCCAGTACAATTTAATTTTATGAGATCATACTAAGAAGATGCCATGCCCAAACCAGCTCTAAAGCTATGGCATTCACAGAAACATCAGGAATGGGTGTCCCCTACTTGTATTTTGTGCAAAGAATATTAAGCATTTATACTCTGCTATCTTTGCAGTGTATTACAGTACTGGCTTCTATTCTACCTATGTAAATCACTGGCAGACTGCTCAGGAGCTTGAAGTTGCTGCTAGGTAGCAACTTTCTACTTTCAGTGAATAATGTACATTTATTTTCAACATTTTTTTCAAATAGAAGCATACTAGTCATCCTCAGTAGTATATAGACTAACTACCAAACTTTTCAGTAGTTTTTTTTTCTTTTTTTCTTTTGCATATTGTTTAAGAAAAAAAAAAACGAGCTAATCCTCTGTCCTGTGCATATCAGTGCCTGTGAAATCCAGTCAACCCAGCAGAATGTAGGCAAATCTTTTTGAATGCTAAATGCCCTCTCAGAACAGAGACCTTTCCTGAATATGTAAATTACCATAGCTGTCTTATCCTGTATAGTATAGTCCTTCATGCATTAATATATCCATTTAAATACACTGGAGTGTTGAGGAAGTAAAGCTATGACCTGTCCTGATGGAGATAAACTCATAGGTCACTGGGGGTTTTTTCAGTGTGAATCTTCATTGGCACAAAAAATGTTGAGTTGAGTCCTGACACTTGCCACCTATAAAATTAGGTCAAATGATGACTCATATTCTTTGTAAATAACTGAATTATTTTTAATGTAGATCAGCAATTTAGAGATATCAAAGTATGTCCCATATTCTGGATGTATGAAGTCCATTTATACGACATCTGCAATTATTACATCTACATTATTAGTTGTGAAATTTGAGGTTAACTGTAATAGATGTTTGGGTGAGTGAAGCTAAATCTCTCTCTACATGGTCTTAAAAACAATACTGTTCCTTTTCTGAATCATACTGATGTAATTAATTCGTTAAATGCCTATGTAGCAGCACAGAAAACAGGCAGTCTTGGTATGCATTTATTTTGCTATATAATGTTGCTATCCTCTTACATGATTTACGTGTTTCATGGAAAATTGTTTATGTAGTAAGAGTGATTATTTCTTGTGGATTTTGTATCAGGGTGACCCTGGCTCTTCTGCGGCTGGAATTAAGGTAATGGAGTTCTAAAGAAGTTGTGCAGGGAGAAGAGGGTGGTTGGTCCATGTAACTTTACAGTGTCAGAGACATTTTGGGTATCATTTATGTTACGGCTTTCCACAGCTCTATCTTTAATTAATTTTCTCAGATCTCATGTCTTTAATCTGTTGTCTTTCAGGGTGAACCTGGTGAAGCTGGACGGCCTGGACAAAAGGTACTACTTGGAAATGTTCAGTTTTCCCTTTCTGCTGGATTTATGATAAATGATGTTACATCCATGTTTCCACTGGCACTTACCTGTACTGGGATGAATCCAAGGCAGTACAGTTTAGTAGCCCAGTGCTGTACATATTTGGTCTATGTTTATTTTGTATTTTAAAAAGGCACAGGAATGATGATACTAATTAGCATTAAAAGCAATTCTGACTAACCCACCTTCCCTTCTAGCCACAGCACAGTTCTTGCATTCAAAGCTTGCCCCATTGCAGCTCGTGAGACTAACAAAGAATGGCTCTGCTTCTTGGGTGATCACAAGCTAACCCTGCATGTTTAACTATTAATCTTCAAACTGTGGTACACTGTTAGTTCTTATCAGGAAGAAAATAAATATTGGTTGGAATCCCTTTCAGATATGCCTGTGAGGGGAATCAAACCATCAGTAGAACGCAGTGTATTCGGAAGAACAGACTAGGTAATGCTGCTCTGTTCTTCCTTCCAGCATAAGAAATTCCCCTGGGTGCTGTGTGGCTGAGGCTGCTTCTGCAAGGAGAGGTCCTGCAGGAGTTACCATAACTGTACTGCATGAGGCCCTGTGCAGCTGGGGAATATGCTCTTTGAATCCACAGTACATCAAACACAGCAAATGCTGTGCCTTCAGCTTCCGTTCGTGAGAGTAGGGGGCAGGTCCTGCAGGGAGAGCAAAGAGGCAATGAGAGAACTGGATTTCTGCATTGCAATATTTTGTTTCCCTCTGGAGCCATTGGCATTGTTCTTGCCTCTTACAACATTGAAAATATTCCACTGCACACTGCTACCAGAGTCAAACAGGGTCCTTCTGCCACTTGAGATATTCCAGACAGACAGTCAAGAGCTAAAATTCTATATAGTGCATGGCAAGACAACCATTTTCTAATACTCAAGGTATTTTGGTGATTAAGCAAAACCCCAAACCACATATAAATAAGAAATAAATAAGAAATTAAGTATTTTTATTTAAGAAATTATAACTCTCATCAGAGAATACGTAAGACTATTATGGTTGCAAATGCAGTTTCTTAGTAAAGTGCAGTTTTAATTAGGAAAGGTAATCAAAGTATTTTAAAGCTATCTAATCCACAGAATCATTCAGTGTGTGCATTCTGCAGCATATGCTTTGCTTGGTTAATAAACTAGAAAATGCACTTAAGCGCCTGTGGAGATTCAGACTCTCATTAAGTGGCTGCCATGGAGGCAGAACTAGTGGTGATTTATCAGCAGGCTCCTGGTTCTCAGTCCCAGGCGCTCAGATTTGATCTGATTTAATCAACACGGATGAGTGAGAGGTATGCAGTTCAGACTTTCTGTATTCTCACCTTCTTTTTCATACCAAAGGGGGCTTGGTGTCTTCCTTCCACTCATGATTTCCCAGGAGTCACACTCATGTCCCAGCCCCAACCATCAGCTCCCATAACGTGCCCAGTCAGCATGCCTCCTCCAGCCAGGTGCCCCATGTCTGCTGCCCTGCACCCTTGCTTAGCAAGGACTTTTTCACACCACCAGAGGTTGTGGGAGGCTCTTTGTCCAGTTGGAGCCACGTCTCTGCCATCTACATCACCTTAATGCTTTTCCCCTTCTCTGTGTGCCATTCATATTCCCCTTCCTGTGTCCTCTTTTCTTTCTTATAGTTTCTTGTTTCATCTTCTTCTAGTTGTCCCTTATCCATTTTCTAAGCACAAAAATGTGTTGAGCTGCTCACTTGAATACTATTTTCATGAAATGAAATGTGACAGTGTTTCAGCAGTCTGACAAGGCTATTGTAGGCCACACTGTGTGCTGAGGTGACAGAATGACCTGCTCTGCCATTATGTAATAGAGTTAGTATACACCCTTGGTTTCTTGGAAAGTCATTCTTCTCATAAATCATGCTTGGAATTTTTACATTAGGAAAGGTCTGAAAAAGAAAAGACTATGCATTCATCCACAATGCTAGTTGTAATTAAGAAATAATGATTTATTTAATTTTGTTTCATATTGATGCATCTTTTAGGGGCATTTTTACTGTTTTAGATTACTGTGAATCTGAACTGGCTTTGGTGGATTCTTTCTGCTTATTATGTGTGAGTGTATGGGGGTTAGCTCTGTCCCAAGACTAAAGAGTAATCTACTGCAGAAACACTAATATAGTAACAATTATAAATATTCCAATTCTGTGCTTGCAAATGAAATTTGGTGCTTCCATGATTAAGTGGGAAAAGTTGATGGTTGCAGGGCCATATGGATGGCTGCTCATGCAAAATGTGCAAAGACAGAGTAGGAACTTGGAGTTTAACTTTTGTTAGTGCAGTGGAGCATTACTCTTTTGCAAGAGTCATACCCCATTTTCTGCTTCAGAAAGTGATAGTCAACAGACCAAAAAGTGTCTATTTAAAATGAAATCCTAGCCACTATTCTTTCATCTGATTTTATAGTTAATATTTTGAGACTGGAGTATTTCCTGTGCTTTTAGGCAATTTGAACAGTTAAAACTTTGGAGAAACTAAAACGGACAAAGAAGCTGTTACCAGATCCTTCTATACCACTTTAAATCATTCATTTTGGTAAAGTGATTTGCAGCCCCTCTATTGTGTTTTTCATTTTGTGGCACAATGTAATTTTGTTATGAGCGTTTCAAGTCTATTTAATAACTCTGCCTCAGAGAAGTGTCTCTGGGTAGTGCAGTTTGATGAACACCTATATAATGTGTTTATGTTTGTGTGTGTATTCATGTGTGTACATGAGTGTGTGGATGTATGTAAATGTGTGTGTACAAAGGCACATAAAATATTTTAAAAGCACCATCTGTAGGTATCAGCCCAAACTGCAGAGTTGAAGTCTGGATTTCTGTAAAGCTCACGAGTGTAAAAAGTCTGGAATATAGTTCAATTCGTTATAAAGGTAGAAGTTGGCTTCAGAGTTCAAACCTGAGCTTCCAGAAAGTTCAGGGAATATTCAGATCCAAGGTGCTGGTTAAAATCCATCTCTGTATTAAAATAAAATCCCCAGCCTTTAAAATAATGTTTATTCACATGTTGTTACTCTTTCTCTGTTCATCATCTTTATTTCCCTAGACAACATCTTTCCATTTAGTTGATATCTCAAATGACCGTTTGTGAGAATGTTGTCATTCTTGTCTTAGACTAATTCCAAAATGAATACATTCCATTTTCAATACTTGTTACAAAATTACCTTGCAAATAGAGCTCTATAGGTCTTTCCATTGCAATTTTAAATAAGCAACGTTTTTCTGGGTAAAGTGGTAAAAGGTTACATTCCCACTGTCCTTCATGACACTGTGTATATTCAGAGATAAAAGAACAAGCTCTGAAATGGTGCTGTGGATAGCTCTATAAAACTGATGGCCCAGTTATAATTAGGCAGTCCTGCTTGAACTGTGCAATTTAAACCAAGCTCTTCTGAATTGCTTTGTAGCTAAATCAGACAGTCACAAAGCACAGTATCTAGCACAGAGTTGAAAATGGTACAGAATTAAACATCTGTCATAAGTATAGAACTTAAATGGCAGTGTGTAAAATGAACCAGTGCTGCTTGTTTTCTTCTCTTTTGCTGAAGGCTAATATGAATTCATATTTGGCTTTCCTGACATGAATTTTCAGCCTATGTGTCATCTTCACATTGAAGATTCCCAGAAGATACCTAAGTTCTTAACATGACTCTTACTAATTGTACGTTTAAGTCACTCATTTTGAAAAAACAATCCTGCTGGAGCTGACTAGCAATCATTCATGCTCTTTTATTTTGCTGCAGAATTACAGGGCTGTTCAGTGGATAGTGACTATCACTGGATAATGTCTGTAATATTATGTAATTTTCCTGTGTAGGGTGAACCAGGCCTTCCTGGGCTTCCTGGACTCCCTGGAATAAAGGTAAATAAACTGTAGTACCTGTTGTACTGGGTGGGAACACCGCAAAGAGGGGGGAAATGCAAGAATGTGGCTCAAATGGACTTAATGTACTTGTCTTACATCTTTGTCTCTGGTATTAAACTGGGTTTTTTTACAGAAAGTTCTCACATGGAAAATTGGTTAAGTGTCTATGAGTAGACAAACAGTATATCTTACCTTAAAGTGCGAGGCAGAACATTCTAGTTATTTCTTTTAAAAATCTAAAATAGTAGAGGTTTTTGTATTTTTTCTTCAATGGAAAAGTCTTGTCATCAAACTTTTACTTGGTTTCCACTTCAGTGTGTGCTTTCCAATATTCTATTGAATTCTATTCCAATATTCTACTGAATTAACCAAGCCTCCAGCCAGAGAACTGCATTAATTATACACAGGCAGTGGAGACCTGGCTCTGTTGACAAAGATACTCTGTCCATTACACAGCAGTGCTTTCCACTGACAAGTCAAAATGTTTTAATAATATTCTGCTCAGTATTAGCTACAGTCCCTGACACAATACCTGGTTTAGTTCTAGCTTAAGTGGTTGTATTGGGAGCTGCAGACGTTGGCGCAGTTTGAGCTGTAACTTTGTAATTCTGCACAGAGCGAGCAGATGCACATATCTTGAGCGATCGCAGATCAGAATGGCCACTTTTCCTTTGTGTCAAAGACTGTCGTTTCAGAAAACAAAATCTCTTTGAAACTTTTTCTTTGCATTCCAGCATGACCCTGTGAATGTCTCAAGGAGAAAGTTTATAGGATTTCCCCCATAACAAGGAGGATAAGTCAGAGACCAAGCTCTTGTCCACTGTGGAAGGACTCAGGATTTATCTCATGCAACATAACATATGCAGTGATTTTTTCAAGGGACCTGTGAATTGCCACAGCATTGAAGCACAGTGTCCCATCTGTGTTACTAGTGAATTATGGGAAAAAATTGAATGTGCCTATTAAATTTTGTGTGTTGTAACAGCGTAAAATATAGTTCTGTGGAGGTTGTTCATTTTCTGCAAGAATAGACACTGTACTAAGTAGTGGAGATCATGCAGGAGAAGAGTCTTGTGTGATTAAACTATTTTTATAAGGGCCTTTGGCAGCAATCCATATTCTGTTTACTTTAACAGTGAGCAAAGAGGTAGCTCAGTTGGAGGTCAGTGGGGCATTTGCATGAGGCACTCATCCTAGGGACACTTGCCAAAAGCAACTGGAGCTGTGGCTGCTCTTTGGGGTTTCCATGTTCATGCAGACCACGTGCTCATGCATATAACCAATAAATAAAAGTCTACATCTGAGTGGCTGCTCTGGGAAAATTATTTGTTGGCAATAAGAATGGCTCAGAAGGGCAGCTTCCAGAATCACCTGAAAGACAAAATGTGAAGTGAAAAACAGATGAAGTGTGGGAGTTTTGCCCAGTGAAAATTTGTTTCCAAATTCAGTGGAATCAGTGGAAAAACAGTGCAGTTGCCTGCAGAGCAAAATGGAATAATTTGGTCAAATATTAATCATTTAGGAAAATACTTTCTCCTGCTTAAAATCCAGTCCAGAGGGAGACTGATGATGTTTCAGTGAAGAAATTTCATCCAGTGCAGTTCTGCATTGAGGCGACTACCTGCAGCCTGGATAGTGACAAGGAAGCAGGATGTGCACGAGACAGAGCAAAGCATATCTGGTCACATAAGACTTGCAGGATGGTTGCTGTTCATTTCAAGCCATTTGTAAACTGTTTTATTAAGCAGACTGTAGTAAAAAACCATAGATTCTTCTGACTCACTGAGACTGTTTCTATGGCATGAGAAGTGGTAGCAGAAACCAGAGAACAGCTGGGGTTAGGAATATGGGCACTCATCAGCAAAGGAAAAGTAGTAGTTTCCCTCCTTTCTCACCCTCCCTTTTAGCAAAGATTTATGTTCTACCACGGTAAGATCATTGCTTTGATTTCAACAACATCAGTGTTATCTCATGGAGAAACAAATTTCCAGTGATCTGGTGTTGATGAAAAGCTACCTTGAAATAGCAGTGATAGGATGAGAAACTTGAGCATGGAAGAAACTCAGTTGTCTGGACTTGGAATCAGTTGGTGCTGTCATCTTGTACAAAACCAAGAGGAGTCTTACTTGGAACAGTGACTTATTTTTTCTTTTTCTTTTTTTTCTTTCTTTCTGGAGTGATCCTTGTTGTTTGTTACAATTTTTTTCCTAGGATTTTGGGTTGTGTTCCCATGTGGACTTTATAAAACTCTCCAAGATATGTCTTTGCTATTCTGTCTTAATAGTGATATGCAGTAGTGGTATAACATCAAAAACATAGTAGAAACCTCTCACAATGTCATTGCAACATCTAAGAACTTGTTACAAAATATAGGTTTCCATAAGGAAAATTTTTCCTAACAAACAGATTATACAATTCTCATGCATTTGCCTGCCAGCCCAGTAGCTGTTGGCAGATTTTTCAGGCTTTTCCCAAACTTTGCGAGAGGTAAGGAAAAGATCAAGATATAGGTTTATTCACATTGAAAAATCCTAGATGTGGTTCTTAAATGTTAAATATTAAGTCCGCTTTTCATTACATCTTTTAGTTGAACTTAAAATTTCTTCCTTGTAAATGTTTTTCTACAGTGGTAGGCTGTACTTTGAAATTTTTTAGGTAACTGTGCACATACACAGCACTCTTCACAAAAGGTAACCTACCTGTGCAAACACAAATGCTGTGCCAGGCAGTGGACCAAACAAGCTTCCCACGACATTCAGTCCTCTGTGCTTCAATATACATAAAGGATTAATGAATACTAATCACTGAGAAACCTTCAGCTTCTTATAATGTCATCTCAGTTAATTAATCTGTGTTCCTGGGAACCTGTAAGGACTTTGCTGAATGTGATACTGCGGTCTGAATGAGTGGCAACATTGGACAGACATGCAAGTATCATGTCTGAATTCAGGGTATGCAGCAGGGTCTTTTATTACTTACTTTTCTAGACCCATTCACTATGCACATGTGGATGTTTTGGGAGTTCTTCCTGTTCCTTTTCGTTCTCTCCTCCTTTGTCAGTTGGTGCCATGGAGGAAACACAAGTGCAGTCAGTTATTTCCAAGACAGTGAAGAAGCTGTCTGTGACAAACTGAAGAAACGTTTCTCAAGCACCTGTTGCTGTTTAGGAATGGCTGGAAACTTAATGAGCCCTGAATGTGTTCCACCTAAACTCAGAATATTAACTCATCGCTCTACTATCCCCCAGCTGATGCCAAGCAGACACAGAAGCTTGTCTGTGAAACACAAACTTCATGTATCTGTTTTACCTCACAACTTTTGCAGGAAGATACCTACAAAGCAGCACTTCCTTAATGTAATGGAAATCATGCATGCCCTCATTCACAGTAATGTCAGACATCTCTCAAACCTGTTGCATTGCATTTTCTGCAATTTGGCCTGTACAGTCCTCAATTTCTTCACGCAATGAGACGCCTTCACAAAACACAAGCCTTTTCTCAGCAACAGCACTTTTTGCAGGATCTAGATTTTTTTGGTATTTCTGGCATTTGTCCCTTTTTAAAACAAATACTGAACTGAAGCTTACCAGCACATATAAATTTTTATTTTATTGTGTTCAAGAAAACTGAACCATTTAGTGGTTTGACACGAGAAGAGAAAGGCTGCTTAGCCCTTCTGCTTTTGGGAAGTATGGAAAGCTTTCTGTGCTTTAAAATTCAGTGGAAAGGGCTGATTCAATAGACTTGCCAGTATGCAGTGTCTTGCATCTCTCTATACTATTACTTTGGATTGACTTCCCTGGGACTGTGCCTGAGCAAGCTTTCAGAAAAATCTGGATAAAGATATGAGAATTTGAATCCATTTTATATCCTTTTTTTTTTCCTTTTTATGATAGCAAAAGTGGCTCTAATTTTTTTCTGTACCTAAATTTCTTTTTTTTCTATGTCTGCTTCCCCTCTAAAGACTAAAAGACTCTCTGCTCCACAGAACGTATTTTTCTAAGGTCTGAAAGACTTCATACTACTTTCACCCAGTTAGTTCTGTTAGAAAAGAGAAATTTCAGAGGAAATGAGAGAATTTTCCAGCTGTATGCATAGGAGTTAGTCTCCTATTTAAACTCTTGCAGAAAAGAGAGCAACTGTTGTTCAAGCTTATGTGTTTAAGTGCTGCTCTTACCATCTGGCAGCAAAATGAAAGGAAATCTGAAATGAAAAGTAGTTCTAAGCCTTTTGGTTTGGAGTCAATGCCATTTACCACCTATAGGAAAGTTTGGTAAATTCCTCTCCTCTCTCAAGAGTTCTTAGGAAGGCTGTTCACATTTTCCTAATGCATTTTTCCTTTTCTATATTTCCATTCTTCTTCCTGTTTTTATTCTTTGTTAGTGTTAACAGGAAACCTGCAGGGTCTCTCTGTCTCTCTCTTTGTCTTCCCCTCTCTGCAGGTTCTGGGTGTAAATGGGAACTGATCTAAAAAAGTAGGACTTAGTACCCACCTTTGATGGGCAGGGTTTCAGAAGTATCTCTGTGGATTGGTAGGTAAAATACATTACACGACTGTGCAATGTGTTTTGAGTTTCGGCTTTCCATAATTGAAGTAGATATATAAACATATATCTGTATATTACACATCTAGCTTTGTTCATTGATTCCAAGCTGCCTGTTTTCCATATATTATGGCAATAATTAGTTGCATAGGGTAGATATGTAATTTCCCAGAACTGATTTTGAGAATCAAGGACAGAAAATGAAATCATCACTAACATTGGATGGTATGTGTGTCAGGGGTGCTACTTGGATGCTCTTCAAGATAAATTCTTCCAGTTCTTATTAATTTCTCAGAAACTATATTCTCCAAATCTCTTATTTTCTGTCCTGGAAAAAGCTGAAACAGAAGGAACTGAAACACAGAATGTTGTTTCCTCTAAAACTATTAGTAGTTGGAAGACAGAGCTTTTAAGAACTACTTCACAGCATATGTTTTGTAGCATAACTTAATTT